TGGGGAAGCCAGGGTGGGCTTCTAGAAGACACATCCGAGGCCTGAAATGCGACTTCTCTGGACAGATGACTCCATTCATTTGTTCAGTCAGTTGATCAGTTATCAGTTGGTCAGTCAGTCAATCAGCTGTTCAGATTAGATGGTTATGGCGCAGCGGTCAGTGGATGGGGACTGGAGGGACATGGAAGAAGATAACAGTCCTGTCCTCTCAGGGCTGGTAAGGGGCTATCTCGGGGAATCTGTTTATCCTACCACGGCGTGCACTGTGGCAGGAGGGCTCTGGCCACAGTGGGGAAGGGGCACAGGAGGGCCAGGGTCTTGAGAAGATGCTTGAGCTGGGTTCTGAAGGACGGGTAGGAGGTTCTCCCCCAGATGGAAACAGGGTTCTCAACGCAGCCTCTGTGGAGCTGTTCCCGGGTGGTAAAGTCAAGAGGGTGCTGGTGTGAGTTGAGATGTCTGTGACTTAATGTATCCCAGTCTATTACCCGGGGAGCTCCAGGCTGCTTCTTCCCTTCATGTCACCTCCTCGGGGTCTTGTGTCATCTTCCTCCTCCCGCCCATCTGGAAGAGCAGGTCAGAGACACGCCACTGCGTGGACCGGGGCCAACATGAGGGCGCGGCGGTCCTGGGCCAGTTTATGGAAGCCCTCCCCCTGCTGCCCACCCAGGGACCTCAGATGACCCTCCACCTCCCTCTAGGAGGACACGGATTAGAGGCTTTAACCGGCATGGATGCTCCAAGCTTGGTGCACACCCTCTTGGGAGAGACAGGCCTCCTCCCTTAAGGCAGAATCAGAATTCAGGCTCTACAGAGAATCTGAGAACACACGCTCTGTCCCCGTGGCCAGGCCAGGTTCCCTGTCCCTTCCCCGCCTCCTGCTGCGCTGGAGATGGGACAGACCTCTGGGGGATCTGTGGTCTTTCCCAGAAGGATAACTGCAGGATGTGGCCTGGGGGCTTTGGTGTGAACAGAGCCACATGGTGTTCAGTGGCCCCCAAAGCAGACGAGCCGCTCAGTGCCAGTGACCTCAGGACCCCAACAGCATTGAGCAGGAAATGTGAAGCCCCCAGGCGTCCTGGCGTGGGGACCCTCGCCTCTTGCGGTCAGCACCTGTGTTCCTGGCCTTGGCGGGGACAAGGCGCTTACAGGTGGTCTCCTGCCCCTTTCAGAGGATTCGTTTTCAGGAAGATTGGAAGCTGATCACCCTGTTCATAGGTGGCAACGACCTCTGTGACTTCTGCAATGACCCGGTAGGTGTCCGCACCCCTTGAGATGTCCAGGGAGGGATGCCCTGGTATGGCCACTCCTGGAGCAGTCAGCTGGGCTGGGACTCGGGGCTCACGGGTGGGCTTGGACCCAGCTTGGGATCATCCCTGAGACTGAGCGGGCCTTCACTGGCAGGAGTCAGCAGAACTGGTGGGCTCAGTTCCAGAAGGTGTTGATCACTTTCTATCACGGCTTCTGAGTGCATTGTTCTAGATAATGCCCTGTGACCTGAAAACAGCTGCCTGCTAGGTAGACGGTCGTGGGGCATCCCCTCCTCACGTTCATGGCCGTGCCGTCTCCACCGCCTCCGTGCAGTCACAGGGGAAGCTGATTTATTACGAAGGCCTTTAGGCTGAGGTGGGCAATGGGAGACGACATGGGGACTGCGGCCCTGGGGTCCTGCATCTCCTCCCAGATCCCTGGCTCTGAGCCCAGAGAACCCCCACGGTTACGCTGGCCTCCCACCGAGCCTCTGCTGGGCGGTGCGCTGAGACTCAGCAGCAGAGGAACACACGGGCTCTGTCCTCGACACTCACACTGCCAGGGAGGGGACATGGTGACTGCTCATGGCATACAGCGGGTGATGACATGTGGTCCTGGTCTGCAGGGACAACCCCATGCCCTGGCCTGACAGCTTACTTCCTGCATCCAAGTCGCCGTGATCCCAGGGGTCTGCAGAGAGCCTCTGGGCTTTGGTGGTGGATGGGGACATAGGACCACAGACCCCTCCACTGTCCCCAAAGGGATACCGCTTTGATGTGTTCCTGGAACAGTGGGCTCATGGCTAGGTTTCACACAGAGAAAGTTTAAAAACATTTAAATTGCCTAAAGAAAGTGTAAACCCCACACGTATGCAGAACAGGAGAAATAACAGCCACTGCGAGTGTAGGCTTGGGTGGGGGGTTGCTGCAAGACCCTGTTCCTCCTGTCACCTCCTGTGGCTGACTTGAGGTATGACCCAACACCTGAGGCTACAAGATGAGGCCACAGGAGCAGAGGCTGCTGGAGCCAGGAGACCTCACAGGCTTCCGGCTCCCACACCCCTCCTAGGGGTCCGGGGTGGGCAGGGCCACCTGAGGCCCACATCTGGTGGATGTGAAGACGTTCCAGAGCCTTCTGTGTCCCCAAAGAGACAAGCTGAGGACCAGGGGCCAGGGTCAGGGCTGTCCCATGGGCAAGCCCTTGTGTCAACCTTGCTCGCACTGAATCCCAGGAAGCACGGGCCCCAGGGACATGTCGGGGCCGTGGGGAAGCTGGACAGCATGCGGTGTCCAGAGTCACCTCCTTTCCCCGCAGGCCCGCTATTCTCCCCAGAACTTCACCGCCAACATTGGGAGGGCCCTGGACATCCTGCATGCCGAGGTATGGATGCTGGGCCTTGGCCCAGCCTGGGCAGCTCTGGCCTCCTGCTGGGACCCTGGCAGGTCACCTGAATGCACGGGCGTCCGCAGAGGGGGCTGGGGGGATGGACGGAATTCCCCGGGTCTGAGCCTGCCGGAGGAGCAGGCCTAGACCCCACGGGAGACAAGGCCACGGCCTCATCCTCTGTGTGCCTCTGCCATCCGCAGGTTCCCCGGGTGTTCGTGAACCTGGTGAAGGTCCTGGAGATTGTCAGCCTGAGGGAGCTGTACAAGGACAACAGAGTTAGCTGCCCACGGCTGATCCTCAGGTCAGGGAGACACCTCCTGAGCCCAGGGCCCTCAAGGATTCCCAGAGAGCCACGGTGGCTACCGCCCTCTTCCAACCCGGCAGGGTCTGGCGGGGACAGCCCAGGGTTGTGTACAGGCCTCAGCTCCCCGCATGCCCACCCCGCCTCCGCTGCCACAGCAGCCATGAGGCATCCTCCATCCTCCAGGAGTGGGGAGAGGAGCACTGGGTATGGAGTCAGGCTGTGCAACCACAGGGGCCTGGGCCGAGGTCCAGGGAGGCTGCAGGAAAGAGTCCTGGGAAGCTGCCACACTCTTGCCTGTTAGCGGCCGTCTTATGCCTGTTGCTGCGGAGATGTTAGCACAGGCTGAGCCTTCCTTCCTGGAAATGCTTGAGACCAGCAGTGTTTCAGGTGTCAGAGAGCAGGAAGCACTTGGTCCACAGCTAAGACCTCCTCAGAGTGTGTCCAGGGACCCATCCCTCCTGAGGCCCTTCCCCAGGACAGGGCGGCTCTGGGTGGCGTGGGTGCTCCCGACTGGACACGCACAAAGATACAGTGCCCGTCATGGGCTGGAAGGGAGGAGTGGGCAAGTCAGAGTCTGCAGAGGACAGAATATCCCTGGAAAGCTGAGAGCCCTGGTTCTAAGACCAAGAGGCCATCCTCTTTCCTCAGCCTCCAGCGTAGGGGGACCGTCACCCGAAAGCCTGAAATCCTGACATAATGCCACAAGGGGAAGTTCCCCCATGTGACTTCATATCTCGGGTTGCCATCAAATACAGGCACACGACACACCATTTGTTCCACATCCCCGGGGGATAAAAGACCCTCCAGCCCCTTCAGCTGCGATGTCCTGTCTTTCCCTGCCACACTCACAGGTGACAGAGGGCCGTGTACAGGAGTGTGCGGGCAACAGGCTTCCCCCGCCCCGACGCCCAGATGGCCCAGGTCCATGCTGCTCACTGCAGGGCTGCACGGTCTTCACCCTGTGGTGGAAAGATGTTGAAATGTCAAAAGGGCCTACAGAGACCTGTAGGGTGATGCAAATATTCTACAGCCCAGAATCCAGAAGACTTCTCAAGCATTTCCAGGAAGGGAGGGTCAAGACACCCCCTAGCGGCTGGTTCCTCCCAGGTTCCTCCCAGCAGGCTGTACCCTTAGCCCTCTCCCTCCTAGCTCTGTCGCCCTGTCCAGGTCCCCCTTACCTTCCACTACCCTGAGCATGTCCCGTGGTCTTGGTTCCTGGGCCTCCATCCCCCAACCCATGAACTCTGTCCAGGTCACTGCTAGACAGTGCAGGGGCTCATGGCTGTTTACTGAATGAGTAGTTCATGGACCCAGACTTGCTCTTGGAGACCAAGGGGCACCTTGCCTGCTCCCTAGAGACCCATGCCAGGCCTTCCCTGGACCCTAGAGAGGGTCTCATGCTGTGAGCAGGGACGCAGCACTGCCAGGTGACACAGGTCAGTTTTCAATGCTGGCTCAGCCCCAGGCCACTCTCTCCAGTCCCTGGGTGGTGGGCTCACCTGTCCCTCCCGCTCAAGATGGTCACTGGAAGGACTCTCGCTGCCCATGGCAGCAGTGCCATGGACGGATACGGCCAAGGGGTCGGGTGGGCGTTGCCAGGTGTAGTGAAAATCCGAAGGGCCAAGTCCCTGAATGCCAGGGTGGGTGGCTCAGGGTCCCCATCCTGCCACCTCTCCAGGCTCTGCACACCCCGCTTTGCTGCTGCTCTCCCAGGGGGCCGTGCTTGTTCCCCCCCCGGCCAACAGCTGGGCAGGTCAGCACTGTGGGTTGGACAGAGGCAGCTTAGCAGAGAGCTGAGAACCCCAGGCTGAGATCCAGGCTTGTTCACGGCCTGACTCCCACACTCAGGTCCACAGTACCGTGAGAAGTCACTCGGCTGCTCTGAACCTCAGCCTTCTCATCTATAAAGTGGGGACAATGACAATATGGTATCTAGGATGTTAGGGAGGATTGAGCAGGTTGAAGCCACGGAGCGCCCATCACCTTGCTGGGTGATACATTAGCAGTTGTCATTGTCTGAGCGTCATGCTGAAGGTGTTACTGTTCTCAGCCAGAAAGGCCTCTCTGCTCCTGATGGTCACTCCCGCAGTGATGACATTAAGAGCAGATGTGGTCTGAGGCAGGGTCCTCGGCCTTTTTGCTCGGTGGAGGAACAGCCCAGCCCAGGAGGGCTCTGTTTGGAAGGAAGGTGCTGACTGCGGTGGCGGGCCATCTCTCCCTTGGGTCTGCAGGTCTCTGTGTCCCTGCGTCCTGAAGTTTGCTGATAACTCAACAGAACTCACCACCCTCATCGAGGTGAACCAGAAGTACCAGGTACACAGAGGGCTCCAAGACACACAGACCATGAGGCTCGCCGGCTTTGAGGGCCGGGTGGGTCCATCTCTGGGTGACTGTGGTCCTGCTGGGCGGCGATAACCACTGACTCACTCATGGACTTAGACACGCCCTGAGAGGCAGGGACAGAGATTGGTGATTTGGATTTTGCCATGGGGCCACGGCATGCCACATGCACCATGGAATCTCGGTTCCTGGCCTTTATGTGAAAAAGTTGTGTTCAGTGGTCCACAGATGAGTGTGAACCATGGGAAGGAGCTTCAGGGTGGATCTGCCCAGATCCAAACCCTGATTCCACTCACTGGATGTGGGGCCTTAGACAAGTGGATGGCAGAATGTCTCTGTGCTCCCAACTCCTGACTGGGAAACGGAGGCTGAGGTGTCTCCCTCTTAGTGGGCCTCCAGGACCCAGATGACGGGCATCCCCTCTGCCCTCTCCTCTCACGGGAGCACAGTGGACGCTCTCCACCTTGTGGGGGGTTCATATTAGTACTTCCTCCACCAAATCTTTGACCAGAGCAGCTGACCCATAGACCTTCCGAGTTTTCTCCCAACAATTGTCACATCGCTGGAAGGACCACGGCAGGCCTTCCTTCCAGACTGGGTTGCAGACAGCGTCCTGAGGCCATGGGCTCCTTCAAGGAGTCTGTGAGCTCTGTAGGGCAGAGCCCCTTCCCCGCAAGCTCTTTTGGGGACAGCCACGCCTGCTGGGTGTCTTGGGGGCCCAGAGAAGTGAGCCTTCCTCTGTCATCCTCGGAGGCCACCACCAGCCCTGGGGATGCTGCCCGGCCATGCCACCTTCTGGGCTGGCACCTGTGACTCGGGGAGGATGTCCACAGTGGCATCAGGAGAGGAGTGGTTGAGATTGTAGCCACTAGGGCAATCTGGCTTCCCCAGGTTCCTGGGTGCAGGCGACCAATGTGAGAACGTGTGGCAGAGCTAGAGACCTGGGGCCGGGGCTGAGCCACCAGGAGCCGTGGAGTCAGGGAGTTCTAGGGGCCAGGACATAAGTGCAAAGGAGGCCACAGCTCCATCCAGTGAAGACACCAGACTCCATCAGGGCTCCTCCCAGGCCCCGCTGCAGCTGCCCTCTTGGCGCTCGATGCTTTCCATTCCTGACACAGTTCCGACCTTGGTCGTGGGCCCACGCCCTGGCTGCGACGGGCGTGGGAGAGCGGGTGTCTGTCTTTCTCAGCCTCTGTGGAGGGAGGCTGCTCTTCATGCCATGGGATCTTCAGACGCAGGTGGAGCGTCAGATGCTGCAGCCAGAAAGGAGGAGGAGTGTTCACCAGCACTGCCTCCAGACCTCTGGGGAGGCCAGCTGTCCCAGGGCTGAGTGGGCCGCCGTCGAGACCCCAGCCTAGTGCTTGGGAGACGCTCGCACACCAGCTGTGTGAGGCCATGGCACCTTCTCAAAATCGCCTCTGCCTCCCACAGAAGCTGGCTCTCCTCCCCCCTTGGAGTGACCATCACTCTGAAGGACTGAAGCATGTACATGGCTCTCAAGAGCTGGGGACTCCACACCCCATTTCTTCCCATCATCAGCAGCATGTGGGTCCTTGGGGAGCCATCATGGCAGTCCCCAGAGCAGCCAGCAGCATTGGAAGGGGCTGAGGAGATGGGCAGGACATGTAGGAAGCAGAGGTCCAGAAAGAGACTCATTGCTGGGAGTCACACAGCCAGTAGGTAGTGCCCTGCATGGCTCCGAGGGGCCCTCCTTTCTCCCCTTATGTCTCACCAAGACAGAGGCTGCCTGAGAGGGCATATGTGAGACCACTCCGCATGGGCTTTCCCAACTTACCCTGGGAGGAGACGTTCATGGCATCTTCTGAGGTGACACATGACTGCACTGGGCACGTAGACCTGACTTCACCCTCCAGCCAGAGTCCTGCCCAAGGCGGGGAGGCCTGTATGGGTGGGATGGAACATCTGGCCGGGTAGGAGCCAGACCGGGGCAACTGATTTGCCATGAAGGGACCCCACACAGGGCTGTGAGGGTCACGGCTGTCATTCTGGATGGGCTCGAGCTCCTCTGGGAAGCACACGCTCCATGCACACATGATGGGAATAGGCAGGGCGTCACACCTCCGACTTTCCTGAACAAATGTCGGACGGAAATAAACTAAGGCCAGGATGGTCCAAGTGTCCTGCAAGCAAATGCCCCACCTGAGTCTTCAGAGTTGCTTTGAAAGGAGGCCAGGTGGGTAGGCGGAAGTCTTTTCCCACTGACTGTCCCACAGCCCAGGTGAGGCAGATGCCCTGGGCAGAGGTGGCAGGGTGGGCTGAAGGCAGATCTGAGCTCAGCTCCCTCCTGAAGGTTTTGCTCAGCATCAGACTGTCTAATTCTGGATCGGAGAAAGTGTCAGTGAGAACTGAGCAGATGCAGAGAGGACTGCAGGGCTGTCCTCTCCTCCCCACACCCTCCCATCCCCTCTCTCCCTCCTGACCGTACCTCTCCCTGCCCCTGACTGTCCCCTCTCACCCCTTCTGACTGTTTCCTCTCCCCCCTCCTGACCTGTCCCCTCTTCTCCTCCTGACTGGTCCCCTCTCTCCCTCCTGACCATTCCGTCTCCCCCATTCTGACCCGACCCCTCTCCCCACTCCTGACCCATCCCCTCTTCCCATCCTGGACCTGTCCCTTCCCCCTTCCTTACCATCCCTCTCCCCCTCCTGACCCGTTCCCTTTCTTTCCTCCTGACTCATCCTCTCTCCCCGTCCTGGCCATCTCCTCTCCCTCTTCCTCACCGTTCCCATTCCCTCCCGACTGTCCCCTCTCCTCCCTCCTGACCTGTAGCCCTCCCGTTCAGGAGGGGACCCACGAGCTGGTTGAGAGTGGACGCTACGACACGCGGGAGGACTTCACGGTGGTCGTGCAGCCATTCTTTGAGGAAGTAGACATGCCAAGGACCCCGGTAAGGAAAGCCTGCGTGGCGGGTGAGCGGAGCCCTGGTGATGTGTGCGTGAGCGCCGTCCTGACACCCGCGACTGCCTGTCTCTCCTCTGCCGGTGACCAGGATGGCCTGCCCGATAACTCGTTCTTCGCGCCTGACTGCTTCCACTTCAGCCAGAAGGCCCACGGCCATGCTGCCAGTGCCCTCTGGAGGAACATGGTGAGACGGCCGAGGCAGGCAGGTGCAGCCTGCCATGAGAGCAGGACATGGAGGCCTTGGGAGGACCTGCACAGTGAGGGCAAGGAGCCCGTCTGCAGGCCTCCACCCCAACCTGCATCCCGAGCCTCCTGTTCTGTCCATCTCCATCTCACGCCCCTCTCCTGCTTCTTGGCTTAGCTGGAACCTGTGGGCCAGAAGACCAGGTGGCACAATTTTGAGAATGAAATCAACATTACGTGTCCTGACCAGGTACGCGCATGCGTGTCCTCTTTCCCGCTTCCAGCACCCTCAGGCTGTGGGGCTCCTTCCATCCCAGCTGGCCTTTGCTGTCACCCAGCTCTGCCCACCTGCTCCTCTGATGCTCCAGAGTCACCATTCCAAAGGCCCCATGTGGCCAGCCTGAGGGGGACCACAATCCCCAGCGACCCGGAGGCCCTGGAGCACTTCCTGGCCCCGGCATGGTGGAGTCCTGGCACAAGGCTGGGCTGGACACAGCTCCTCTTGCAGGCGAGAGGGAGGGAGCAGCCATGTCCAGCACCATCTGGAAGGTGGGGCGGGGAAGAGGTCAAGGGCAGGACACCCGTCCTCTCACAGCCCTGCAGTCCTCTCACAGCCCAAGAGGACGTCTGGGAAGGGCATTGGAGCTGGAGTTGGGGACGCTGACGCTGGCTAAGAGACAGAGACACAGCAGGCCCCATGCCACTTGCAAGGGCTGGAGCTCAGCCGCCACCCTCACGTGGTCCTCTGTGCCCCGGTAGTCCCGGGCAACAATGGGAGTCACTGTGGGGCTTCTGGGAGCAGGGCCCGAGTCATCCGACCTTCCCCGCCTGGGCAGCAGGGTCCCAGGCCCCTAAAGAGTAGGGTGGGCGGGATGATAAGGGAGTCTGAGGTGAGACAAGGGCTTGACTACTGGAGAGGGATGCTTGGCTGGAGTGGGTGGGGAAAGAGGGGCTTGGGCGGGAGGGGAAGGAAGATGCACATACCCAGAGCTACCTGAGGGCTTGTGCTCCTTCTTGGTGCTGGGTTTAGGTTGCATCCTGGGAGGGAGTCAGCCTGGTGAGGGGAGGCTGGCTTGGGAGGCTGGATGGGGAGGCTGAAGGTATTCACACCAGGTTGGCAAGAAAAAAACCTGAGCTGGAACCCTCTCCTCACAGGCCCAGCCGTTTCTGAGCACCTACAAGAACAGCGTGCAGGTACCGCCTACGCTTCCTCTCGGCAGGTGGGACAGAGTGGGGGTGTCCTATGCTGGGACAGGCCAGCAGGGTGGGCGGGATGTAGGCTGAGCTCTGGCTGGACAACTGGCCCGCACTTCAGCAGGGAACAGGTGGAGTGAGCACCCAGGGAGCAGAGGACAGGAGTCCTGTCAGCTAGGCACAACTGTCTGGACAAGAGTGACCTGGCATCTGCTTGAGAGACTGCAGAGCAGGCCTGGTGTGGCTGGGCCACTACATGGATGCCCAGGGGCTGGCACTGGGTGATGGAGGGTGTGAAGCCACCTCACGTTAGTGGAGGGTGTGAGCTCATATCATGATGGAGGGTGTGAACTAGCCCCATGATGATGCAGGGTGTTCCTCGCCTCAAGATGGAGGGTGTAAACTAGCTTCAAGAAGACGGAGGGTGTGGACTAGCCCCATGATGATGGAAGGTGTGAACTGGCCTCATAATGATGCAGGGTGTGAACTCGCCTCTCAGTGATATAGGGTGTGAACCAACCTCATGATGATAGAGGGTGTGAACTGGCCTCATGATGATGCAGGGTGTGAGCTAGCCTCACAGTGATGGGGGGTGTTACCTAACCTCATGATGATGGAGAGTATAAACCAGCCTCATGATGATGTAAGGTGTGAACTAGCCTCATGATGATAGAGGGTATGAGCTGGCCTCATGATGATGCAGGGTGTGAGCTAGCCTCATAGTGATGGAGGGTGTGACCTAGCCTCACAATGATGGAGGGTGTGAACTAGTTTCATGATGACGCAGGATGTGAACCAGCCTCACAATGGTGGAAGATGTGAACCAGCCCCATGATGATGCAGGATGTGAACTGGCCTCACAATGATAGAGGGTGGGAACTAGCCTCATGATGATGCAGGTTATAAACTAGCCTCATAGCGATGGAGGGCATGAGCTAGCCTTCTGGTGATGGTGGTGTGAACTAGCCTCATGGTGATGGAGGGTATGAACTAGCCCCACAATGATGAAAGGTATGAACTAACCTCACGGTGATAAAAGGTATGGACTAGCCTCATGGTCATGGAGGGTGTGAACTAGTTTCATGATGATGCAGCATGTGAACTAGCCTCATAATAGCAGATGTGAACTGGCCTCGTGATGATGCAGGGTGGGAGCTGGTCTCACAATGATGAAGGGTGTGACCTAGCCTCATGATGATCAAGGGTGTGTGACCTAGCCTCGTGGTAATGGAGGGTGTGAACTAACCTCCTGGTGATGGAGGGTGTGAACTGGCCTCCAGACAATGGAGAGTATGAACTAACCTCCTGATGATAGAGGGTGTGAACTGGTCTCATGATAATGCAGGGTGTGAGCTAGCCTCGCAATGATAGAGGGTATGTGACCTAGTCGCATGATGATGGAGAGTGTGAACCAGCCTCACGATGCCGGAGGGTATGACCTAGCCTCATGATGATGAAGGGTGTGAGCCAGTCTCAGGAGGATGGAGGGTGTGAGCCAGCCCCATGAGGATGGAGGGTGTGAACTAGCCTCATGATGATGCAGGGGGATGTGAACTAGCCTCACAATAATAGAGAGTGTGGACTAACCTCACGATGATGCAGGGTATAAACTAGCCTCATAGCGATGGAGGGCATGAGCTAGCCTTCTGGTGATGGTGGTGTGAACTAGCCTCGTGGTGATGGAGGGTATGAACTAGCCCCACGATGATGAAAGGTATGAACTAACCTCACGGTGATAAAAGGTATGGACTAGCCTCATGGTCATGGAGGGTGTGAACTAGTTTCAGAATGATGAAGGTGTGAACTAGCCCCATGAGGATAAAGGGTATGAACTCGCCCCATGGTGATGGGGGGCATGAACTAACCTCATGATAATGGAGAGTGTGAACCAGCCTCATGGAGCTCCCCCTGGATGATGTTCAGAATCACCTGGGGTGCTTCCTCAAATGCCCTTCTGCATCCCTCCCCAGCAGTAGGGCTTGGGAATCTCTTTAAAGCTTTCTGGATGAGAATGACACCCACCCAGCCTCTCTGGTCCCATCCCACCCTGAGATTCTGAGATTCATTCTGTATCCTTAGGACCATGGGACTTGGCTGCCGTGCAGGAACAGAGCCCCTTCCACCTCTCCCCCCACCTCAGGTAAGCACCTGGACACAGCAGGGCAGGCCTCTGTAAGGACTTGCATGCCGATGAGTCCTCTGATGACTCTCATGTGCCAACCAGAGTGCGCAGAGAGGACTCATGCTTGCTGCCTGCCTGGTAGGCACCTGGGAGGAGCTCCTGCTTCACCCCCAGAGGGAGCTTAGGGAGAGGAGCCTTGTGAGCTCACTGCAGGCAGCCCAGCCCCAGGGTGTGGGGAGGCCCAAGAGGAAGCTGGCTCTGTAAGTTGCCCTCCCTATGAGGGCAGGATCTGTGGTCCTTGCAGCCTGCCGACGGGCCTGAAAGGTGTCCTGGGTCTTCAGAAGAGCCCTGGGAGGGGAAAAGACCCAACATGATTATTCCTCAGACTCTGGATGGAAATCCAGGCCCAGTGGAACAGGCTGTGCCTCGGTCCAGGTGGCCCAGTGCCCAGCTGGCCACACAGAGGACATGGCCAGGGCCTCCCATGACTGCTGGCCCTCGGATGGTGGCCTCCGACTTCCTTCCTCTCTCCTTTCTTCCACCTTCCATCCTCCCTTACTCCTTCCTCCTTCCTCTGTTCCTTGCTCCTTTCTCTCCTTCCTCCCTCCTTCTCTCCTTTTTTCCTTCCTATCTCTCTCTTTCTTTCCTTCCTTCCTTCCTTTTGAGTTGGAGTCTCACTCCGTCACCCAGGCTGGAGTACAGTGGCACGCTCATGGCCACCCCAGCCTTGACCTGCTGGGCTCCGGCGATCCTTCCACCTCAGCCTTCCAAGTAGCCAGAACTACAGGTGCACTACCATGCCTGGCTAATTTTTGATTTACTGCCGAGACGAGGTCTCGCCAAATTGCCTGGGCTGGCCTCAAACCCGCAGCCTCAGGCCATCCACTCACCTCAGCCTCCCAAAGTGCTGGATGACAAGCCGAGCCCTGAGCTTGGCCCCCTTCCTCTTTCTTTCCTCCCTCCTTCCCTCTTCGCTTCCTTCTTTCCTTTCGTCCTTCCTCCTTCCCTCCTTTCTCCCTCCCTCCTTCCTTCCTTCCACCTATTCATCTTCCCTTTCCCTTCCCTCTCCCCTCTTCCCTCTTCCTCCCTCCCTCTCACCCTGCACCTCTCTCCCTGGCTTCTGGGGAAACAGACTTCAAGTAGCGCCACCCCTGGAGACGGTGCTTTGGCCTTCCACGGAGCTGAAGCCCAGCCTCTGGTTGCAGCTGCCTCCCCACAGCCTCAGTGTGCCCACCTGTCTTTGCAGTGCATGCCCTGAGGCCCGCGGATGTCCGGGTGGTGGCCGCTCTGGGGGACTCTCTCACCGTAAGGACCCTGGGGCGCCGACGGACTGGGGTGGCTGGGCGGTGCCAGGTCCCATCCTCCTGATGCCAGAGCCTGCACTTTGCACTGTCGTGCCCTCGGTCTGGCTCTGTCCCCTGCGTGCAGGGGAGTCTTTCCCAGGAGTGACCAGTGGGCTCAGACATTGGAGGTTTCAACACTTTTTAAACATATACAGAAATAAGTCATTTTAACTCAAAATTCTTCCAAACCTGCTGGTGTGGTACCTGTTCCCTGTGGCACCTGTTGACGCTCAGGCATGCCCACCCGTCTCCTCTCTGCACCTGTGTAGAGGGAGGCATGGACTCCTCATGCGTGAGACTCAGTCCCAGCTCCTGCCATAGCACCTGCACCGCCCAGGTCGGCCCTTCCAGCGACACTGAGGCCTTGCGGGTACGACGCTGCAGAAGCGTGTGAGGCCCGTAGCCCTCGAACCCACCATGCTGGGAAGCCTCAGTGTGGGGCACAGGGGTGGTGACATCTAGTCTCCCATGTCTGTGAGGCCCTTGAGAGCTTTCAGAGCCACTCCTGCAGCTGTGGTCCGAGTGGCCCCTGCGGCCCCCATGAGATGAACAGGGAATGTCCTGAGCTCCAGGAGGAGAGCACAGGGCTGGGAGGGGACTGGGAAGAAGACAGGTGGCCTGGGCTCCTGGCTCCATCCCATGGGGCTCCTGGCACCCGAGTGCTTGGGGAGCCTCCTCCCTTCCCCTGCCTCTGCCTCACTGACCTCCCTGTGGGCCGGGCTGTTTTCCAAGGCTGGCAATGGAATTGGCTCCAGACCTGACGACCTCCCCGACATGGCCACGCAGTACCGAGGACTGTCGTTCAGGTAATGTCACTTCTGCCCTCCCCAGCGCTTCCCTGGAAACTGGAGGGAGCTTGTCTCCTTTAAACGCGTAAATCCCAGACAGCAAAGACCAGGTCTGGAAGGGCTTTCGGAAGGAAAACTGTATGTGCCCAAAACTGCAGACAGGCGGGTGAGAGGGCACTTCCCTGGGGATGACCTCTGTTTAATCATGCAGAGAGCACAAAGCCGGGCTCTTCTTGGACTCCTGGGTCGGCGAGTCCAACACGAAATGCACCCGAGCAGCTCCGGATCCAAGTATCCCGCCCACGCATCCGTGTGTGTGACTGTAGACGGCTCCACGTGTCCATGTCTACGTGTCTTGTTTGTTCATGTCATCCTGTGTTGCGCCTCTGCCTTCACACACGTGTGCACATGTGTAAGGGGAAACTAATGACACCCACATACTCCCGGAGGACGTGGCTGAGACAAGGTCATGACCTGCAGGCATCCCCACACCCCCGTGCTGGCCCTGGGTGGATGAGGGAGACAGGTGGGAGGTGGGCTCGGTGGGAAGCACGGACTCAGGATGGTGTGGTGGGGGGACACCCTGCCAGCAGGTGTGAGCCTCCAGGCAGGCAGTGCCCAGCAAGGTCTCGATGGCCCGGCTGCTGGACACATGGAGGGGTGCGCAGGGCATGGCAGGCGTGGGACTCGATCTTCCTCCTTTCCTAATAAAGTCTGTGGGCTCCCAAGGGGCCAATGAGTCACTCAAAACAGTCTCCGAGAACCACTGGAACCCAGCGCCACGAGAGGCAGAGCTCATGATCACCCCTCCCTCTTCTCCCCAGATGAAGGGGCACAGGGCGGCAGCCAGTGCAATAAAGGGCAGGCCGCTCTCTGACCAGATCCAGGAGCCCCGGGTGGAAGGGCTCCCAGGGCAGGAGGGTGGTAACAACACCCAGTTGGGGCTGCCTTCTCGGTGAGCGGTCAGGACAGAGCCTTGGGTCCTCCCGCCTCCTGACGCATCTGAGGCTACAGGACAGTAAACCAGAGGGAAAGAAACCAGGCTCATTGTCAGCCCAGAGGGAGGGTCTTGGCTGAGGCCAGCGGACCTCATGCCATCGTGGGGAGAGAGAAATGAAGTGGTCTGGCATGCAGCTGAGCTGAGTGGTCCTAGGGAGGACGGGCAAGGCGCCAGACATCAATGCCACACAGCAGCTCCAGGGCTCAGGCCGGCCCACCGTCTCCCGCCCAAGCTCCTCTCTGCAGCCCCTGCCTGCTGCCTCCAAGCCAAGACCGCCAGGTTCCAGGCCTGGATCTCCTATTCCAACTCCAGCGCTGCGGTCCCCTTAAGCCCTTTATCTGTCCGACATGTGCCAGGTAGTTGCCCCCAGCGGCCCATGCATTAAAGATGGAAACTCCAGGTCAGGGTCAGAGGGACAGTTTGGCTCTTGGTAGACAGAAGGCGAGTGTTTCTCCAAGTGTGTCCTGTGGCATATGCCTTCCAGCTACGTTCCTAAGAAGAGAGAATCCTTTGTAGTTTGGGGAAACATGGCCACATCCTGCCTCTGGGGCATTCCCGTGCATGTTGGCATAGCAAAGGCTCTGAGAAGCCCTGAGATGCTGAGATCTGTTTCATTTCATGTGTCTGAGCCAGCGTTTTCCTTACTTCCGGAACATTTTCTTTTTTCCTAATTCCGGTGAACGTTTCCTGGGAAATGGCCACATAGGAGATAGCCACCTTCTAAGCCTTTAAGGCTTCCAGATTGGAAACACCAGGCAAGCGATGATTGTAGATATCCTGAAAATGTGAGTTGAGCCTCTTTCTCGAGGGGAAAAAGGTTGGAAATCATGTACTTCATGGAGTTGGGAAAGGCGAGCCCAGAATCCTTGGGACGGGCCGTGGGGGACCTGTGGGGTGGGGGTTGGAGGAAGGCCGGCTGTGAGTCTTGGTGTGGCCCAGCCCACAAGCTCCTGCCCTGGTGAAGGTCCCAACTCTGGCTGGCATCCATCTTCCCGGTCGGTGGGCCCCAGGTCTTTCGAGCGTGGCCTCTCCTTCCACGGTTTGCTTGTTTGGGATTGTTCGAAGGGCCAAAATAAAATCAACTAACCCAAACATTGTGTTTCTTTGCCTTATTAATCAGGAGTTCAGTCTTACTTCCCTGAGCTCCTTCTGCAAGAGTCACTCTGAGCACTGACTTGGTCTTTCTAGACACTGTGGGTGACGGCAGGTGAATGGGGCCCAGCCACCGAGCTCACAGAGTGACATAAATTAAAGCATCTGAAGGGTCTGCTTCCTTCGTGTTTCCTGCAGCTCTGATCAAAATGCAGGTGTCAGTCAAGCTGTGGGGCTCCTTCAGATTTATTTGCATGTTCCTACTCTCTCTCTAAAATGAAGTCAGGGAGATATTTTCATGGCCAGTTGGTCTCGGTCAGCCACCACCCTGTTTAGAACAAAGATACCTTTAAGCAGGAAGCTGCAATAGGAAGAACTCCTGTGTGTGCATTTGCGTGTGTTTCCGTGTTCATGTTTGTACATTTACTGAAGGGGAACAGGAGGCAGAGCAAGAACGTGTGACGGAAGCCGGTATCGAGGTGTGGGGCTTCCTTCCAGTTGTCAAGTGCTTTCAGTCCAGAGAAAGAAGAATCAGGAAACAGCTGGGTGGCCGTGTGCACAGGCCCACACCCATCATCCCAGCACTTTGGGAGGCCCAAGCGAGAAGATTGCCTGAGACCAGGGGGTCAAGACCAGCCTGGGCAACTTGGTGAGACCTTGTCTCTACTATAAATTTAAAAATCAGCCAGACATAGTGACGCATGCCTGTGGTTCCAGCTACTTGGGAGGCTGAGGTGGAAGGATCGCCTGAGTCCAGCAGGTCGAGGCTGCCGTGGCCGTGAGCATGCCCCTACCCTCCAGCCTGGGCGACAGAGGGAGACTCCAACTCAAACAAAACAAAACAAAACAAAACAAAGAGGCGGATAAGTCAGCCCCTTCAGAGAATGTGCAGTTTGTTAAAAGATCATCCTGATGGGAACAGGACACTGGGGACGCCCGGGGAATGTGGAGTAGGGGGGCGAGGGTTGAAAGTCTACCTATTGGGCACCATGTTCACTGAAGTCTGCGCATCTGGAGAGGGGGACTCCAACTTAGAAAACAAAAAAGGAAGCCGCAAAACCCCAGCTTGGAGCAGAGTTGGGAAAGAATCAGAAGGGCCAACTGAGGCCCAGCTTTGGGGCCAGTCTGGTTCAGACTCCTCCTGGGAGTGGGAGAGACCCCAGCCAGGCCCCTGCATGGGCCATCCTGCCTCATCGCAAGCGTCTCTTGGGAGAAGCACAGCTGTGCCTGCCGGTGGCCGGCGCTTTTGTCTCTGTGGTGACCGAGCACCATGTCTGTGTTCTTAACATTGACCGGCCTAGAATAAGAGGCTGGGGCGAAGGATGAGGCACGGAAGAAGAATGACCGTGAGTGCCCTGCATGCAACATGGGTTTTGTGGAAGCTCGATCTCCTTGCACAAAAGGAGGTAGACTCTTTAGAAGCCCAGAGGTGGATGAGATGAAACAGGTGGGAGTGGAGGCCACCGGAACCTCCCACTGTGGTCTGCTGGACTCTGAGCAGAGGGGCTGGTCTGTCTCTAAATGTCTCCAGCTCAGACTGGCCTGGCTTCCTCAGCAAGTTCACGGCCTGGGGGTCTCACTCTGTGAATGGAGGTATCTCTGTGTCGTCAGCTGGCTGGGAGACATGGACTACGTCAGACAATCTAGCCTACACAGAGCAGCAGCTCCTTGGGGGGGGTGTCCCCTCCGACCTGGGGAAGGGAAGAAGAGCCCTCCCTGACCCTCAGGTCCTGAGCGTGGGGACCCATCCATCGGGGACGTCACCGTGTTCTTGGGTTTCCCCGGATGCACAGGGCCAGGTCGGGCCCTCTGGCGGGGGCTGGCGGCTGAGGAAGGTGGGCACCCTTGTGTGACGTGGGTGTGTTGGGTCAACCTGTCTCACTCTCTGGCTGCTCACTCCCTACAGTGCAGGCGGAGACGGCTCGCTGGAGAATGTGACCACCCTACCTAGTAAGTAGCCAGCAGGGGCTTGAGTTGTTCCTCCTCGTTGTTCTGACCCCGGCATCCCAGAATGCCTCCTGCTAAGGAACAAACGGCATCCCCCTCATGGGACACCACGGGAGGGAGGAGGCTGTGGGCAGGAGCCTGAGGAGGCGGGTGGACACTGGCCTTGGATCCTGCATTAGGGCCTGGCTGTCCTTCATGCTTGCCAGGCGACCCAGGGCAGGTTCCCAAGCATGGAGCCTCAGTTCTCCCAGCGGGCCCAGGAGTGCTGAGACAAGAAGGTGGGGGCTTTGACTGCACTGTGAATTGCACGAAAATAGAGTTGCAAGAGGCTCTTGCTGGCTAGCCCACCCGTCATCAGGCCATTTCATTTCAGAGAGGCCCCAGTGTAGGTGGGGCACACACACGGCCTCCCTGCCTCTCCCCAGGAGGCATGAGGGCATCAGCGCCAGCCCTATGGCACCAGACAAACATCTTGGCCTCCTGTCCTGAGCCCTCTGTGACCTGTCCACCCTCCAATTCCAGATATCCTTCGAGAATTTAACACAAACCTCACAGGCTACTCGGTGGGCACAGGTGACGCCAATGATACGAATGCGTTCCTCAATCAAGCTGTCCCGGGTGCCAAGGCTGAGTACGACATCTTGGGGGGTGGGGTGCCTGTGGGTGGGGAGAGCACACAGTTCCCTTTAAAATCAGAGCACTGGCTGCCAGAGGCAGTGGGAGAGAGTAACTGCCCAGCTCCTGGCTGAAGGTTCCTGGGCCCCACCCCACTCCCAGCGCACAGATGGGCCTCTTGCCCCATGGCTCTGGGCCACCCTTGGGGGTCTGCCACACGTTTCTGCCCGCCAGACCATGCAGCCTGGAAGCCTCTTCTTGGTAGTAGAAGCGCCTTAGGCCACAGGATGCCAGCACCATGTTCTGAGGTCACCATGCTGTGGATCTGTCCCAGCCAGGCCTGTTGCAGGGGCCTGAACAAGCGGGACCTCAGGGGCTGAGAACTGTCCCTTCCATGAGCCACAAACCCAGGCGTGTATGTAGTCTCTATCATTCCCCACAGCCTTCTGAAAGAAGCATTTAGATAAGTTTACGAAAAATGGCATCACACACAGGGTGTGACAATTAAGTTCGTGAACTCATTTTAAAGCCCATGCTACCTACCTCATTGCTGAATGTCACTGCAATCACCTTCCAAGGACTCCCCTTGGAAACTGTGCATCGATGCCAGCGCCTTGTCGACCCATCAAAGCCATTTTGGAACTCTTTTTCTGGCATGGCCATCAGAGATGTGACTGTCGTATTCTTCCTTTCAATATTTGGGTAAAGAAAAAAGTCACTGGGGGCCAGATCAAGTAAGTAGGGAGAGTGTTCCAGTAGTTATTTGTACAGTGCTGCCAATGTAAGCACACGGTGGCAAGTTTCTGAACTTAAGGATCAGACCTCAACAAATAACGATGGCGGCTCTGAGGGCCATTCCAGAAAAAGAGTTCCAAAGTGGCTTTGACGGGTGAACAAGGTGCTGGTGCTGGCATTGGTGTACAGCTTCCCAAGGGGAGTCCTTCGAAGATGACCGTGGTGACATTCAGCAATGAGGTGTGCGGCACTTTTTCTAGGATGGTTTGTGAAACTCATGGCCAGACCTCGTATGCATAAGAGAGAAACATCTTCACTGCAGGCAACACAGAGGAAGCAACTGTGTCAGAGGAACGTTTTTTGATCATTATGAGTGAGCAGCAAACGCTCAGCTTCCCGGCAGTCAGGGTGAAAAGAGGAAGCATGCTAAAACTCTCATGGGTCTACCTTTGGACCTAAACCCATCTTTCCAAAGAGGCGAGTGGCTTCTTAGCCTGGGCTTCTAGGAGGGCCATTGCACGTGGAGTCCTAGGAAGGAGACATGAGCAGCAGATTCAGTTGGTGGCATTCAGACCACAGCTTGGGACAAATATAGCATCAACTTTCCCAGTGGTTGTTCTGGTCACTTTCCGGAAGAGGCAAGTGGCCCCTGGTCTCTGGGCTGCAGGGTCTCTGTCAGCTGAGGCCATGGGGTGAAACTGGGATGGCTTAGTGCAGCCCCTGTGGCAGGAAGCCAAGGGTGCTGTTCCCAGTGGCAGGACGGGTCTCTCTTTCTCAGGGACCTTCTGAGCCAAGTCCAGATCCTGGTGCAGAGGATGAAGAATGACCACGTGAGTCACGTTTATGGTGATTTCTCAACACAAACTTTCCAGGCCTCTAAAGTCCCCAGTAGAACAGCCAGCCATGGAGAGCAGTGAGCCGCTTGTCATCAGAGGCATTCAAGCAGTGGTGGGACAGCCCCGCCATGCGTCCTCTGGAGACGCTTGCGCCAGTGGGGAGAGGTTGACCCGAAAGTCCCTCCTGATGAGATTCTGTGGTCTATAAATGAACCTCTAAGGTGCTTCGGCTCTGAGATGCTGACTCCCTATTCCGAGGGACGAGGAGACTGCAGGGTGGATGGGCTTCCCAGGGCACTCAGTCCATGTGCTTGTTGGAAGTGACCAGCACCCTCCTTTCTCCACCTAGGAAGTGGACTTCCACGCGGACTGGAAGGTCATCACCATGCTGATCGGAGGCAGTGATCTGTGTGACTACTGCACGGATTCGGTAACGGCCAGCCACGCCACCCCCGCCCCCGGCACCGGTTCCATCCGGGTCCAGGAGATCCTCTCTGAGCACAGTCCCAGAACCAGCCCAGGACTGTCCAGCTACGGCCATGTCCATGCACACAGACACATGCACATGCATTCATGACTCTCATGTGCAGCACACACACATATGTAGCCCTCACTTGCACACACACCACACACATGTTCATGCACACATACACACACATGCATGACTTGTGAACACACGCACGGCTCACACGTGCACACACATGCACAACTCTCACACGCACACATACATGACTCATACACATGCACACATGCACACACAACTCTCGCATGCACACATGCATGACTCTCACATATGCATGTACAATGTAGGCATGACTCTTTCATGCACACATGCACAGCTGTTACACGCACACACATACTTCCATGACTTTCACATGCATCCACACATGACTCTTACATGCACATAGGACACATGCATGCATGCATGCCTCTTACATGCACACGTAACTCTCAAGCACGCATGCATGCACAACTCTCACAAGTACACACACAAATCTCATGCACATGCACACATGACACATGCATGCCTAGACACACACACACACACACACACACACACACACACACACCCACCCAAGCCCTCGGGCTCTGGCACGGTGGTGAGGAAGCAGGTGGCAGAGGCACAAGACACCTGGCTCTTCTCCTGCTCCCTCCTGGCCTCAAGTGCCGGGAAGGAGAAGGCCATGGATCCCACCCGGGGAGCGAGGCTCCTGCTTCCTCTCCTGCATGGAGGCTCTGACAGGAGGTTCTGTCTTGACGGGCCCCTGGACAGCCATGCCTGGGCAGCCGTTCATTTCAATTCTGACATGAGGCATTGGTCGCAGCTGGATGCTGGGGGGGACAATAAGTGCCTGGGTGGAGCCTGTACCTGCCACCCTGACCGCCCCCACCCACTCCCCATCTCTTCCAGAATCTCTACTCCGCAGCCAGCTTCTCAGAGCATCTCCAGCAGGCCCTGGACCTCCTGCACAGAGAGGTGAAGCCTGAAGCGGGCAGCAGCTTATGTGATGGGGTGGGTGGGGGAGGAGGAGCAGAGTCCTCCCCAAGGAGAGGGCTGCAGACGAGGGTCTCCCGAGGCTGGATCTCCTGCGGGGAGACCTCGTTCTGGTAGCATCAGACCAGAGGCACTCAGGTTTGAAGAAGGAAAGGCAGGGTGCTGACCCGCTCTCCCCACCATGACCCAGGATACTCTTTGGTGGCAGCCACTGAGTGGTCCCAGGCAGGCACTGTTCAGAGCCACAGCATGAGTCTCAAGCCAGCCCTAGCTGGTCCTGCACCCAGCAGTGTGTCCCTGCCACCACCATCCCTTAGCAGAGACCAGCCATCTTGGCTGCCCAGCACCAGCACCCTGACTACCAGGCGCTCTGCTGGGTGGTAGGATCCCCATGCCTCCTCTGCAGGCCCAGACAGGCTGGGCTGGAGGGGAAGGGCCAGGACTGATGGCCTGCACACAGGTCACCTGCCTCACTGTAGGGACAGCTAATGTACTTGGGCTGAGCACAGCTAACCTGAGCACTCGATGTCCCCTCCTGGTGCTATGCCTTGCAGCCACGTGGGTGGTACTCGTGGAGCTTTGTGGCAGACGGCTGCCACCTGGACACCTCCTGGGACTCACAGGGTAGGGTGACTGGAGCTCTGAAGGAACCTGCAGCCAATTCCCTTGGGCCACTCTCATCTACGTCTCGCCCCCAGGTGCCCCGAGCCCTGGTCAGCCTTGTGGACTTCATGGACCCCAGCATCCTGCGGCAGGCGTTCCTGGGAGACCCAGACAGGTGCCCGAGGCAGCAGGCCAGGTAGGCAGATGCCAGTGGGCCCATGAGCAGCAGTGCCTCCTCGGGGCCCTCGTGACGTTATCTGCCCACGCATCCACATCTGTCGAGGAGGGCTCATGTCAGAACGTCCCCCCGGGAGCCGGAGCTGTGACTCCCCCACCCAACCTCAAGGGGCCGAGCAGGAGCCTCTGGGCTCAGAGGTGGCGGGGATGGAGGACAGAGCTAGGACGGAGGCTGGTGCCCAAGAGACACTGCAGTTGGGCTATGGCTGGGGCCGGCAGCAGGGACATGTCCGAGTGTGTCAGACTACAGTAGGGACCAGGAATGACTCATGACTCAGCTGCCTGTGTATGGAGGAAAGGATGGGAGACACGGACTGTCAGGCTTGGGATGTCTGTGTCTTAGGCGGGCAAGTCCGTGGGAGTTTCCTTATCTTTTTCCAGATATCTATTTACTGGCAAGTCTCCTGGATCTGCCCCTGCATGCCGGGCACTGTTTTCCGTGCTCAGAGGGCCTCTCTTAACACCGAGAGCTTGTATGGGTGTGACGTGGCCTCTTCTGAAGCAGAAGGGACGCAGAGATGCCCGGGGAACAGAAAGTGGAGTCTGAGGGCCTGAGCATCAGGGACCCCAAACTCAGCTCCAACCCAGGGGATGCGGTGTTATTTTACTCATGTGTTTTTTTGAGTCAGAGTCTCACTCTGTCACCCAGGCTGCAGTGCAGTGACATGCTTACAGCCACTGCGGCCTCGACCTCCTGGACCCAGGCGATCCTTCCACCTCGTCCTCCCTAGTACCTGGGACTACAGACACACACCACCATGCCCAGCTGACTTTAGGATTTTTTGTAGAGACAATGTCTCGATGTTGCCCAGGCTGACCTTGAACTCCTGGGTTTAGGCAATCCTCTCACCTCGGCCTCCTAAAAGTGCTGGGATTACAGTCAGGAGCCACCATCCCTGGCTCTATTTTACTTTTTAATTAAACAAGGGACTCCATTGGTTATCTCCATTTGCTGGACTGTCAGCATTGGGAACTGCTCTCCCGAGAGGGCACCCCTTCATATACCAGAGTCCTCCTCGGACTTCCTCCCATCCCCAGCGTGTGCAGAGCCTCAGGCACATGTGCTCCCAGACCCAGCTGGGGCTGCGCCCCACCACCCCCACCCGCCCGGTGGCTAGAACCAGCCTTGACGAGCTTGGTCCCTGCAGCGTCCTGTGTAACTGCGTTCTGACCCCACGGGAGAACTCCCTGGAGCTGGCCCGGCTTAAGGCATTCGCCCGAGCTTACCAGGTGAGACCGTCCTTTCCCCAGCTCACTAACATGCAACCCAAATCCCTTGGGGGGGCCACAGGAAGGCGGCCTGGTGCGGGGTCCCCGGGAGCCACAGCCACCCTGGCCCTTCCTCTGCCCATGTGACTCAAGTGTCTCAGGGCCATGGTTAAAGCCATCCTGTGGGATTCAGGTGGCAGAGCCCTCATGGCGAGCTGCCCCTGGGGGCTTGGCCCAGCCCCTGGCCAGCAGCCCTCGTTGCCCCATGAGACCCCTGTACCCTGAGGTCCAGCCCCCCCACACTCCTACCTGCCTCCAAGGGCAGCCCCAGGAGGGAGAGTGCTGGAGACTCTTCCCAGGTGTGGCTCTTCATGGGACTCCCACTTTGGGAGGCTGAGGCAGGGGACTCCTTTGAGCCCTGGAGTTCGAGACCAGCCTGGGCAACATAGTGAGAACCCATCTCTACAAAACATTTAAAAATTAGCCAGGCATGGTGGTGTGTACCTGTAGTTCCAGCTGCTCGGGAGACTTAGGTGGGGAGGATCACCTGAGTCCAGGAGGTCGAGGCTATGGTGAGCCGTGATTGTGCCACTGCGTTCCAACCTGAACGCCAGTGAGACTTTGATTCAAAAGAGATAACATAGTAGCCCATTCTCTGGAGTTAGAGCTGGGGTTTCAGGGCCTCAGGGTCTCCAGGTGCTCTGCAGGAGGGTGGGGTCCACCTGTCCAGGGAGGGGGCCAGGGACACCGCCCACCCTGTGCCGAAGTCCACGTGTGTCCCCAGAGCAGTGTGCGCCAGCTGGTGGAGTCAGGCCGCTATGACACACGGGAGGACTTCTCGGTGGTGCTGCAGCCCTTCTTCCAGAACACCCGGCTCCCTGTCCTGGAGGTATGCTCCCCCCATGGGGTCCTCCAGGGAGAGCTCAGGGCAGAAGCGCCAGGTGATCCTGCAGTCACATGTGGACTGGGGAAGCCACGGCAGGCTCCAGGGACTGTCGGGCCAGGCAGCTGATGTGGGTTCCCGCCACCCCACCACAGCCCCCAGGTGTTACCACTGCACGTGATGGAGCGGTGAAGCGTCCCTCCAGGGATCACCTGGGAGACAGACAGTGTGTCCAGCTCCAGGCTATGTGGCAGTCGAGGGCAGTGCCCTTCCAGGAGCTTTTGTCTCCCGGCCGTGCTCCCGGCCTGACTCTTCGGCTCTGGACAGGAGAGGGCGGGAACAGTTCCAGGGGGACTGAGGTCTGTCCCCAGCCTTCGCTCCTGGCGTGGCCTAGCTGGAGGAGGCTGGAGGGAGCAACTCTGCACCTGGCAGCTCGGGAAGGGAGAGGCCATTTCACCTGGCACTGGTTCTGCCTCTGCTAGGTCCGTCTGGGCTGGGCTCCCCACCTCACCAGGCCCCAGGACCGGCTGAGGGCTGGGAAGTGGCCTCCCCAGCAGGACGGGCAAGGCTCCCTTGAGGACTGGGGCACCCCTCATCCATGGAGTGGGTAGGGCATCATGGGGGTGTGCCCGGAGATCAGTGCAGCAGCTTCTTAAGGAAATACGTGGAATGGTGGGGTCAGATTGCTGGGCCACACGAAGTCACCCATGTGCGAGTTGCTCCACTCTCCCTCTGCAGTGGGCAGGCCCTGCAAGGGGGCCCAGTTCACTCCTCAGGGGTGGCATTGCCTGGCCTGCCCCAGGGCCCCGGTCCATCCTGTGGCTCCCTGGACAGGAGGGCCCCAAGGACATGTGCTTGTCTCCTGCAGGATGGACGCCCAGACATGTCCTTCTTCGCCCCAGACTGTGTCCACCCAAGTCAGAAGTTCCACTCCCAGCTCTCCAGAGCCCTCTGGGTCAACATGGTAAAACAGGGGGTGTTCTTGTTCCTGGGTCCTCACCTGGAGCAAAGCCCCTGCCCTTGTGGCATGGGGCCCCAGGCTGCCCTCTGCAAGCGAGGTCGAGGAGGTCTGCATACCACGGAATCGGGAAAACGAGGCCCCAGGCTGCCCAGCCAGCTCCACTGCACCCACCAGGCCTTGAGCAATGGTGGAAGGGGTCCACAGTGTGCCAGGCAGAAGTGCACTCGATGCTGCCTGCATGCCGGGAAGGGGGCAGGTCAGCCGGGCACCTTGCCTGAGCCCTCCACAATCCTGCTGCAGGAGTGACAGCCTCTGAGGACCCTGCCTCCTAGGGGTGCAGGGCCTCGGCCCACACCCACTGCTGGCAGTGGCCAAGTGGCAGCCAAGCCCTGAGACGCCCTGGCTCCCTCTGCAGGGACTGTTGCGGGGCTCACTTTGGCGGAATCAAGTGAGTGACCCACGTCTCTCTCCCTCCCTCTCAGCTGGAGCCACTTGGAGGCAAAACAGACACCCTGGACCTGGCAGCTGAGCTCTCTCTGATCTGCCCCACTCAGGTGACTAGGGTGGCCTGCATGGCTCTCTCCAGAAACCTCGTGGTCCCACCCAGGCTCTCACCCCTGCTGAGGCTAGGACAGACCAAGGGGATGGCGGGAAGCTGGTGGGAAGGAACAGGAGCCATGGCCGCTGGTGTTTCTTGGGGCCTGGGAAAGGCAGCTGGGAGGGGCTTGGGCCCAGCAGAGGGAGGAAGCAGGAAGGCTCATTGGGCAGATGGAAGGGCAGCCTGCAGGCTAGAGGCCCTGCATGGAGGCTGCTCGTTGGCCGTGGCTGGAGAAGGGCCTGGGTTGGGCAATTCCAGATGTGGGCGAGAAGAGAGAGGTCAAGGGCAGGGCCTGGACTGAGCGGGGAAGGATGGAAGACGGCCTCCAGGACGCAGCACCAGGCTCCTTTTAAGGAGGAAAATGCCAGTGGGTGTTAGCTTGACTTCAGCTCGGTGGGGGCCTGCTCCCATTGCCGGGAACATCTTGTGGCTGTTTAGCCAAATAAGGCCAGGGCCGGCGTCCCTCGAGAAGTGAACGCAGAGGGCCTGACTCCAGCGGGAGGCCTCGCTGCCAGTCCCTGTGCTACTGGCTTGGCACGGACCTCCATCCCCCTGGGTCTGTGGGCTCCTGAGGGGCACTGCCTGCACCCGAGACCCCACTCTGCTTGCCCCTGCCCAGTCTTGGCCATCTCGGGTCCCATCAGCCTCCTCAGGGGAGCCATGGCAGGAAGGGATGGGGGTGGGCAGGGGGTGGCAGAGGGCTCCTGCTGGGTCCAGTGCTCAGAGCAGAGGCGACGGTCAGATCATGTCACAGTTGGCGCCACACAGACCCATGGTCCAAACAGTCAGATGCTGGATGAAGGGCCAGGCAAGGCCTAGAGGCCCAACCGTGTCAGGCCCTGAGGGGGCCTGGGGGTCCTGGGGGAGGAGCTGGGGACTCCTGGGTGGGGGCGTCCAGGAATCAGAGCAGCGGCTAGAAACCCACCGTGGCGTTTCAATAGTTTAACAATCTGCAGAGCCTCACTGTCAGCCATGGACAGCCCTCCCGAAACCACCACTCCCATCAAGGGACGA